ACAGCATTCCTTAACATTTTGAAATATCTAGGAACGTATCAAGTTTTCGAATATATTCTAAAAAAAACAAAAATCACGTACTGTACCAAGAGATATTATATATATATATATATATATATATATATATATATATATATATATATATATATCCTAGTTAAGAATGGGTACTTACATATATATTGTATATAATACAACCGTGAATAATACAATATTAGCCAATAATACAATATAAGCTTATAAAACAATGCAAGTAAGTATTCAATAAAAGTATACAATACATTAAAAGTTTGCAATACAATAAAGTTTACAATATAACCATATAACACAAAACTCTTACCCCAAAAAAGTCAAAACGCTCAAAAAAAGTCCAAAATAACAAAAAAAGTCTTGGGCAACACGTGTCAACAAACAGGATACAAAAACAATGCAACAAAAATAGTCAACAAAGGAGGTTATACATTTTGCATCGGGTGGAAATGGCCCCCCAGAATAGATTAGAGCAGATCTTCCTAATAGCACTTCCATACGCTATCAAAACAAAAGCCAAATCCTGATCTGGTCATTGAGTAATCCTATTAAATCCTGCCCAGCTTGTGCGCGCGGCCAGACCTGACACATTGGGATAGCTTAGTTTTACTTTTCTCACATTCCCTGTTTGCGGGCTCACCATAGCCCGTGCTACTTGGAACTTTTTGTTCCAGGTAGCGAATCTTAAACAACAACAACAACATTCGCTGTCACTATCAGTATAAGGCTCACATTCGCTGTCACTATCAGTATAAGGCTCACATTCGCTGTCACCATCAATAAAGGCTCACATTCGCTGTCACCATTAATAAAGGCTCACATTCACTGTCACCATCAATAAAGGCTCACATTCACTGTCACCATCAACAAAGGCTCACATTCACTGTCACCATCAATAAAGGCTCACATTCACTGTCACCATCAATAAAGGCTCACATTCACTGTCACCATCAATAAAGGCTCACATTCGCTGTCACCATCAATAAAGGCTCACATTCACTGTCACCATCAATAAAGGCTCACATTCGCTGTCACCATCAACAAAGGCTCACATTCGCTGTCACCATCAATAAAGGCTCACATTCACTGTCACCATCAATAAAGGCTCACATTCACTGTCACCATCAATAAAGGCTCACATTCGCTGTCACCATCAATAAAGGCTCACATTCGCTGTCACCATCAATAAAGGCTCACATTCGCTGTCACCATCAATAAAGGCTCACATCCACTGTCACCATCAACAAAGGCTCACATTCACTGTCACCATCAATAAAGGCTCACATTCACTGTCACCATCAATAAAGGCTCACATTCGCTGTCACCATCAACAAAGGCTCACATTCACTGTCACCATCAATAAAGGCTCACATTCACTGTCACCATCAATAAAGGCTCACATTCACTGTCACCATCAATAAAGGCTCACATTCACTGTCACCATCAATAAAGGCTCACATTCACTGTCACCATCAATAAAGGCTCACATAACGGAGCTAGCAGTAAGGAGAAATTTGTCAAACGGTGGTCAATATGTCAGCAGTTCGAGCCTCCAAGGATATATTTACCACAACACAACTATATGCGCGAATTATATGCAATATATATATATATATATATATATATATATATATATATATATATAGGTAGCATATAACATATATAGGGAGCCGGTCGGCCGAGCGGACAGCACGCTGCACTTGTGATCCTGTGGTCCTGGGTTCGATCCCAGGCGCCGGCGAGAAACAATGGGCAGAGTTTCTTTCACCCTATGCCCCTGTTACCTAGCAGTAAAATAGGTACCTGGGTGTTAGTCAGCTGTCATGGGCTGCTTCCTGGGGGTGGAGGCCTGGTCGAGGACCGGGCCGCGGGGACACTAAAAAAAAAAACGAAATCATCAAGATAACCTCAAGATAACATTGCACAATACTGAGAATCAATGGCAGTAGATTGTTATCACCCAGTGGTCCTGACGGCTGAGTGGACAGCGCTAGGGATTCGTAGTTCTAAGGTTCCGGGTTCGATCCCCGGTGGAGGCGGAAACAAAAGGGCAGAGTTGCTTTAGCCCTGATGCACCTGTTCACCTAGCAGTAAATAGGTACCTGGGAGTTAGACAGCTGCTACGGGCTGCTTCCTGGGGGTATGTAAGAAAATAAGGAGGCCTGGTCGAGGACCGGGCCGCGGGGAACGCTAAGCCCCGAAATCATCTCAAGATAACCCACCCGGTGTCTTAATTTACCACTTCGTTAAACTTTCAACCTGTTATCCTAACCAGAAACTATACGAACCCAAGCAACCCACCAAACCCATCGAGTCCAACATATAGAAAACGTGACTATTTGTAAGCCGTTAGTTTTCAGAGTAGTTTAGTTTAGTTTAGTTCATTTATTATGCACCCCATACTCATCTTTTCAGAGTACGTTGCATTTCTAACGTTGGTCACCATAACGTGCAAAATACGACCTATTAGTATTTTGTTTATCGTACGATGTATTCAGTATTTGTCGAGAGGCAGGAGGCTGTGTTACTACTCTGCCCAGTGTATACTGTATTACCATACACAAGCTTGTATTACTACACAAGCTTGTATTACTACACAAGCTTGTATTACTACACAAGCTTGTATTACCATACACAAGCTTGTATTACCATACACAAGCTTGTATTACCATACACAAGCTTGTATTACTACACAAGCTTGTATTACCATACACAAGCTTGTATTACCATACACAAGCTTGTATTACCATACACAAGCTTGTATTACTACACAAGCTTGTATTACCATACACAAGCTTGTATTACAACACACAAGCTTGTATTACCACACACAAGCTTGTATTACCATACACAAGCTTGTATTACCATACACAAGCTTGTATTACTACACAAGCTTGTATTACCATACACAAGCTTGTATTACCATACACAAGCTTGTATTACCATACACAAGCTTGTATTACTACACAAGCTTGTATTACCATACACAAGCTTGTATTACCACACACAAGCTTGTATTACCATACACAAGCTTGTATTGTCATACACAAGCTTGTATTACTACACAAGCTTGTATTACCATACACAAGCTTGTATTACCACACACAAGCTTGTATTACCATACACAAGCTTGTATTACCATACACAAGCTTGTATTACTACACAAGCTTGTATTACCATACACAAGCTTGTATTACCACACACAAGCTTGTATTACCACACACAAGCTTGTATTACCATACACAAGCTTGTATTACCATACACAAGCTTGTATTGCCATACACAAGCTTGTATTACCATACACAAGCTTGTATTACTACACAAGCTTGTATTACCATACACAAGCTTGTATTACTACACAAGCTTGTATTACCATACACAAGCTTGTATTACCATACACACGCTTGTATTACCATACACAAGCTTGTATTACCATACACACGCTTGTATTACCATACACAATCTTGTATTACCACACACACGCTTGTATTACCATACACAAGCTTGTATTACCACACACAAGCTTGTATTACCACACACAAGCTTGTGTTACCATACACAAGCTTGTATTACCACACACAAGCTTGTATTACCACACACAAGCTTGTATTACCACACACAAGCTTGTATTACCACACACAAGCTTGTATTACCACACACAAGCTTGTATTACCACACACAAGCTTGTATTACCACACACAAGCTTGTATTACCACACACAAGCTTGTATTACCACACACAAGCTTGTATTACCACACACAAGCTTGTATTACCACACACAAGCTTGTATTACCATACACAAGCTTGTATTACCATACACAAGCTTGTATTACCATACACAAGCTTGTATTACCATACACAAGCTTGTATTACCATACACAAGCTTGTATTACCATACACAAGCTTGTATTACCATACACAAGCTTGTATTACCATACACAAGCTTGTATTACCATACACAAGCTTGTATTACCATACACAAGCTTGTATTACCATACACAAGCTTGTATTACCATACACACGCTTGTATTACCATACACACGCTTGTATTACCATACACAAGCTTGTATTACCATACACAAGCTTGTATTACCATACACACGCTTGTATTACCATACACACGCTTGTATTACCATACACAAGCTTGTATTACCATACACACGCTTATATTACCATACACGAGCTTGTATTACCATACACAAGCTTGTATTGCCATACACAAGCTTGTATTACCATACACAAGCTTGTATTACCATACACGAGCTTGTATTACCATACACAAGCTTGTATTGCCATACACAAGCTTGTATTACCATACACCAGCTTGTATTACCATACACAAGCTTGTATTACCATACACAAGCTTGTATTACCATACACAAGCTTGTATTGCCATACACAAGCTTGTATTACCACACACAAGCTTGTATTACCACACACAAGCTTGTATTACCATACACAAGCTTATATTACCACACACAAGCTTGTATTACCATACACAAGCTTGTATTACCATACACAAGCTTGTATTACCACACACAAGCTTGTATTACCACACACAAGCTTGTATTACCACACACAAGCTTGTATTACCACACACAAGCTTGTATTACCACACACAAGCTTGTATTACCATACACAAGCTTCTATTACCATACACAAGCTTGTATTACCATACACAAGCTTGTATTACCATACACAAGCTTGTATTACCATACACAAGCTTGTATTACCACACACAAGCTTGTATTACCACACACAAGCTTGTATTACCATACACAAGCTTGTATTACCATACACAAGCTTGTATTACCACACACAAGCTTGTATTGCCATACACAAGCTTGTAGTGCCATACACAAGCTTGTATTACCATACACAAGCTTGTATTACCATACACAAGCTTGTATTACCACACACAAGCTTGTATTGCCATACACAAGCTTGTAGTGCCACACACAAGCTTGTATTACCATACACAAGCTTGTATTACTCTCCTGGACAACACCACTTAACAGCCACTTGCACTCAATGTCAAACAAGCGGAGGTTGTGGAAGCCACCTCCACCCACAACTTTATGGCCAGATCCGATAGAGAATTGGCACGTGAGAACAATTGAACTATAGCCCAATAGGCTCAACAAGTAGACGGGGGCATACAGAGCTATCCCCCACTGCTCCGTAGTGTCCAGATTGACAGGAAGTAGCGATTGTATGGCGACTATAATCGTCACGTGGTACAATATGAGGGGTATATATATATATATATAGGGGTATATGGGGATTATATGGGATTATATTATTATATGGGATTATATATATGGAACAGATTTAGGTCTACCATCACCGCTTCTGTCTCTGTGTCGCTACGACTAGCTGGCGCCAATCGCCAGATTCACCTCCTCTCATCATCATCTCCCCATTCCAGCAGGATCGTACAATCGTTATATTCGGCCCAATCACCTTCTCAGAATCAACAATTTTACGTTGTCCTGTTTCTTAGCAAGCGTGCAAGGTTGCCACACTCTCGTGGTGCCAACAGTTGGCTCCTGGGACTATGAGTCAACTTACAGTGCCACCACAGTGCCACCAGCTATAGTGCCACCAGCCACAGTGCCACCAGTCACAGTACCACCAGTCACAGTGCTACCAGCCACAGTGCCACCAGCCACAGTGCCACAAGCCACAGTGCCACCAGCCTCAGTACCCCCAGCTACAGTGCTACTAGTCACAGTGCCACCAGCCACAGTGCCACCAGTCACAGTACCCCCAGCTACAGTGCCACCAGCCACAGTGCCACCAGCCACAGTGCCACCAGCCACAGTGCCACCAGCCACAGTGCCACCAGTCACAGTGCCACTAGCCACAGTACCCCCAGCTACAGTGCCACCAGTCACAGTGCCACCAGCCACAGTGCCACCAGCCACAGTGCCACCAGCCACAGTGCTACCAGTCACAGTACCCCCAGCTACAGTGCCACCAGTCACAGTGCCACCAGCCACAGTGCCACCAGCCACAGTGCCACCAGCCACAGTGCCACAAGCCACAGTGCCACCAGCCTCAGTACCCCCAGCTACAGTGCCACTAGTCACAGTACCCCCAGCTACAGTGCCACTAGTCACAGTACCCCCAGCTACAGTGCCACCAGCCACAGTGCCACCAGTCACCGTGCCACCAGCAACAGTGCCACCAGTCACAGTGCCACCAGCCACAGTGCCACCAGCTACAGTGCCACCAGCCACAGTGCCACCAGTCACCGTGCCACCAGCTACAGTGCCACCAGCCACAGTACCCCCAGCTACAGTGCCACCAGCCACAGTGCCACCAGTCACCGTGCCACCAGCTACAGTGCCACCAGTCACAGTGCCACCAGCCACAGTGCCACCAGCTACAGTGCCACCAGCCACAGTGCCACCAGTCACCGTGCCACCAGCTACAGTGCCACCAGCCACAGTGCCACCAGTCACCGTGCCACCAGCTACAGTGCCACCAGCCACAGTGCCACCAGTTACAGTGTAGCGCTGGTACTACTCCACTTCTCAGCAGCCTCACAGTGCCAGCCGATGAGAGCCAGTGCCTTAATGGAGCCCATATTACCCGGCTGTGTCCGACTGACGTCGCCACAGTCAACCATGTTATGGCCCGAGGGGAAATGTTCAACTTTGTGTTATGACCAGATTCTTGGAGCTGGAGTGAGAGAGAGAGAGAGAGAGAGAGAGAGAGAGAGAGAGAGAGAGAGAGAGAGAGAGAGAGAGAGAGAGAGAGAGAGAGAGAGAGAGAGAGAGAGAGAGAGAGAGAGAGAGAGAGAGAGAGAGAGAGAGAGAGAGAGAGAGAGAGAGAGAGAGAGAGAGACAGAGAGAGAGAGAGACACAGAGAGAGAGAGAGAGAGAGAGAGAGAGAGAGAGAGAGAGAGAGAGAGAGAGAGAGAGAGAGAGAGAGAGAGAGAGAGAGAGAGAGAGAGACACAGAGAGAGAGAGAGAGAGAGAGAGAGAGAGAGAGAGAGAGAGAGAGAGAGAGAGAGAGAGAGAGAGAGAGAGAGAGAGAGAGAGAGAGAGAGAGAGAGAGCGCAAAACAGTCCCCATTTAAGGCGAATCTAATAACAATTAAAATGCAACTAACAATTAAAATATACCACTAATTTGTACCATTTGTTTGAGTTTCAGGCTTCACTTGTGTTCTTTTGTCCTGCTTTCTTTGAACTTAAAGAGGCAGTCCTTATCCACCTGTCTATCCCCCCTCTTGTATGTATCTTGTATGTTGTTATCATATCTCCTTTACTTCTTCTTCTGTCCTCCAAGGTTGTGAGGTCTAGTACCTTCAGTCTCTTCTCGTAGTTAATGCTCTGAGCACTGTTACTAATCTAGTTGCAAACCTCTGCACTTCTAAATGTTACTCTTATGCTTTACTATGTATGGATTCCAAGCTGGTACTGCTTAGTCCAGTATTAGTCTAACAGAAGCTGTGTAGATTGCTTTCAAAGCGTCCTAATTTAGGTTCCTAAGCGACTGTCTACTGTTTGCCAGCGTTTACTCACTTAGTTGTGCTTGCGGGGGTTGAGCTCTGCTCTTTCGGCCCGCCTCTCAACTGTCAATCAACTCTTAAGAGATACTGAATCAAAGGTTTCTTGGCAGTCTAGAAATACGCAAATTGCCCAACCTTCTCTGTCCTGCCTATTTTCGTTACTTTATCGTAGAACTCCAGTAGATTCGTCAGGCCCGAGTTCCCTTCCCTAAAGCCATGTTGATGTTTGTTTACATACCTAATTCTCTCCAGGTGTGTTGTAACTGGTCTTCTGGTTACCCTTTCCAGTACTTTGCAGAGGAAGCTTTTCAGTGATAGTGGTCTGTAGTTGAATGCCTCTCTCTATTCATGAAAATTGAAACCATATCTGCCTCCTTTCAGCTGCTGTGTGTGTGTGTGTGTGTGTGTGTGTGTGTGTGTGTGTGTGTGTGTGTGTGTGTGTGTGTGTGTGTGTGTGTGTGTGTGTGTGTATTCACCTAATTGTACTCACATAATTGTGCTTGCGCGGGTTGAGCTCTGGCTCTATGGTCTCGCCTCTCAACCGTCAATCAACAGGTGTTTACTAGTTGTGTTTTTGCGGGGGTTGAGCTTTGCTCTTTCGGCCCGCCTCTCAACTGTCAAAACTGTGTACTAACTAACTACAGCCTACTACCTACTTTTTTTTTTTTTTTTTTTTTTTTTTCCCCAACCACACACACACACAACCCCAGGAAGCAGTTCTTTCAGCTGACTAACTCCCATACCTATTTACTGCTAGGTAACTCATTTAGGGTGACTCAAACTTTGCCCATTTGTTTCCCCTTGTGCGTGTTCGAACCCGCGCCACAGAATTACGAGTCCTGCGCGCTATCCACCAGGCTACGAGGCCACCAGGCTACGAGGAGGTGTAAAGGTTCCTGTGTCTGTGTGTGTGTGTGTGTGTGTGTGTGTGTGTGTGTGTGTGTGTGTGTGTGTGTGTGTGTGTGTGTGTGTGTGTGTGTGTGTGTACTCACCTATTTGTACTCACCTATTTGTGCTTGCGGGGGTTGAGCTTTGGCTCTTTGGTCCCGCCTCTCAACTAAGTGTGTGTGTGTGTATTGCTTGAGTGCGTGCATGTCTGAGAACGTTCGTGCGTAATGTAGCCAACTGGCCAAAAGCGGCGTTATCAGTAGAGTGTGACGGTGTGGGTGATGGAAGACTGCAGTTCCCAAGCCTGACTGACTAACTGCTGCCTGTGAGATCTCAAGGGGGGCCAGTCAGGCAGTTACTCTAGCTCCCCCTCCCCCATCCTACCCCCTCCCACTGCTCCTACCCTCCCTCCCCTGCCGGCGTCACGTTTTACATGTGTCATCAATCTTATTTTCCTTCCTGAGGTGCCACTGCTTCTGCTGCTCCACCTCCTATTACGTCTCTCGTGTGCCTGTCTCGAGTGCTTTGATTCTACTTATTTACCCCTTGGAACACCGCCTTTTCTAGATAGGGGATTGGATGTTCCTGACCCCAGATGGCAGCTGGCTACATGTGGCTAAAGTCACAGCCCTGGAAACACAGCCCTGGAAACACAAACCGAAACTGTCTCTATTTTCCGCTTGTTACAACTTGTAATAAAGTTGTTACATCTTGGCTTAACGTGTTTATGACGTATTAGAACGTTGTTACAACTTGCTATATTGGTTGTTATAACTGGTTAGGAAATGTTAAAACTTGTTTGAACGTTGTACCAACGTCGCAGTTTCGGTGTGTGTTTGGCGGGAGAGGCCTACAACCTTCAACAAGTAATTATCAAAACATACAATCTTCAGTTTTACTCTTCCTGACTGGGCTGAGATTGTAGACCTAAATGAAAAGTTAGTTGAATATTGTGTCAATGCTCACTATGTTAGGGTGCTGGAGCGAGAGGCTATCAGATATTCTCCTTGCTGCTGTCTACCCCTCGTGGTACCCTACGACCTCAAGAGACACTCTTCTGATGAATGTAACATTCAGTGTGACGTGGAACGACCCCCTGGTAACAGGGGGTCGAACTTAAGTATATGGGGCCAAGGACCCCATATACTTAAGTTCGACCCCCTGGTAACAGGGTGTCGAACTTAAGTATATGGGGCCAAGGACCCCATATACTTAAGTTATATTACCCCCTTATCAACAATCTACTGCTAATTACACTTACTAATTAGTGTAAAAGTGAAAGTACTAATTACACTTTCCCAATAATTCACAATGTAACAGTTGTTCTTGTGTAGAATTTGTTACTTTCTAATTCTTAAACCTCAAAGTATAGAAAATAGCTTATTCCCCTCAAGCTTTGCCAAAGAAGCCAAATGTCATAACCTTTGGCTCAGACAGCTTAAAGAAGACGTCTTGAAGGTGGCTGACGGCTGCCGACTCCTCACCTAGAGTACCTCCTTACCTAGAGTACCTCCTTACCTAGAGTACCTCCTTACCTAGAGTACCTCCTTACCTAGAGTACCTCCTTACCCAGATCCTTTTGTTTCACAAGTCGGTAGCCTTCAGGTACTTTGAACACGTCTTCACTAAGCTGTCTGAGGTAAGGTCCACAGCGAAGTTTAAGGGGGATTAATAGCCATTTTCTATACTGTAGAGACATAAGCAATTGTCACAACAAGAATCAAAATATTCCGGCTTCCTTTTCCAGCGCCTCAGCGTGGCGATACAGAGGGGAAATGCACACTGCATTCAGGGTTCCTGCCGCCATAATGGAGCAATAATGGAGGGAGGGGATGGTCATAGAGGAATGGGAAGGGGAGGAGGACATAGGGGGAAGGGGAGGAAGACATAGGGGGAAGGGGAGGAAGACATAGGGGATGGGGAGGAAGACATAGGGGATGGGGAGGAGGACATAGGGGATGGGGAGGAGGACATAGGGGGAAGTACACACACCAGACCATACCTGTGCCGCGCTCTGCACCAAACTCACGGCCCGTGGGTTATAATTAGAACCACAAGGAGAGAGCTCAACAACAGTCGAAAGCCGTTTCTGTGAGACGACGACTGGGTACTGAGGCGCCGCCTCATTTGAATTTCTCGACTTATTATATTAATATAATTTTTCCTTCTTGTATTTAATTCACTCTTGTTCCGTTTTCTTCCTCGCCTGTCAGTGTCGTTTAATTACTGATTGCTTGGTGAACGTGAGCCCACTCACGTTCCACGTGAGCCCACTCACGTTCCACGTGAGCCCACTCACGTTCCACGTCCTCGTGGTGTTTCGTACAGTCATCAGACAACGTGCGGGACACGAGCAACTGTATCATGCATATATGCTTGGAGCTGAATGGTCAAGCCGGTGCCACAGTCTGGCTGCATGCTTAGACAAACGTTTTTCTTTCTCATCTCATTTATCAAAAGCTCTACCCAACCTCCCCCCCCCCTCTCCACCTTCCCTCCTTTCTCTCTAACCTCATACCTCCTTCCCTCCTCTACTTAACACCTTTCTCCTATCACCACCCCTTCTCTCACTACTTTCCCCTTAACCACCGCTTTCTCCCCTCACCACCTCTCTCTTTCCCTCCCCTCTCTTTGATACCACTCTCACCCCCCCTTTCTCACCAATTCCCCGTCACCTCTCTCTCTCTCTCTCTCTATCTCTCTCTGTCTGTCTGTCTGTCTGTCTGTCTGTCTGTCTGTCTGTCTGTCTGTCTGTCTGTCTGTCTGTCTCTCTCTCTCTCTCTCTCTCTACGACACTCCTGACACAGCCTGCCAAGTCTTGTTTTTGTAAGTGTATTTACACAGCAGGAGGGAGCAAACCCGGCGGAGGATCCCACACACCAGCGCCCGATGTCTCAGCCCTTGTTAAGCATCCCGGGGAGAGATTAAACCCACGAATTGGACAGGTTAATTGGTCGTCAAGTGTCGAGTTAGTGTGTAGGTTTGCGGCCCACTGATATAGGGACTCATGGAGAGGTACACTACTTCATCTGGATACATGAAACTGTTTGTGTGTGTATGTATTTAGTATTTGTATTTATAATCTGGGCCTGCGGAAACGAGCTGTTGGCTCTTGGGCCCCGCCTTTCCAATCGTCGGTTGTCTAATGTACTGACACCCGATCTATTTCTCCGGGCATATCTACTACATATATTTCTCACACATCTATACACACACACACACACACACACACACACACACACACACACACACACACACACACACACACACACACACATCAAGCGGATAACATCAGCGGCATATGCCAGGCTGGCCAACATACGAATGGCATTCAGAAACTTGTGTAAAGAATCATTCAGAACTTTGTATACCACATATGTCAGGCCAATCCTGGAGTATGCAGCCCCAGCATGGAGTCCATATCTAGTCAAGGATAAGACTAAACTGGAAAAGGTTCAAAGGTTTGCCACCAGACTAGTACCCGAGCTGAGAGGTATGAGCTACGAGGAGAGACTACGGGAATTAAACCTCACTTCGCTGGAAGACAGAAGAGTTAGGGGTGCAGGTGACAGGATGAACAAGCCCGCGGGGTTTCTTCCTGTTGGGGAGTGTTGTACATGCTGCTATGGCGGTGTGTCCACTCACAGGATGGGTGACGCTGCCCAATACTGTCACTATGGCGGTGTGTCCACTCACAAGATGGGTGACGCTGCCCAATACTGTCACTATGGCAGTGTGTCCACTCACAGGATGAGTGACGCTGCCCAATACTGTCACTATGGCGGTGTGTCCACTCACAAGATGAGTGGTGCTGTCCAATACTGTCACTATGGCGGTGTGTCCACTCACAGGATGAGTGACGCTGCCCAATACTGTCACTATGGCGGTGTGTCCACTCACAGGATGAGTGACGCTGCCCAATACTGTCACTATGGCGGTGTGTCCACTCACAAGATGGGTGACGCTGCCCAATACTGTCACTATGGCGGTGTGTCCACTCACAAGATGAGTGGTGCTGTCCAATACTGTCACTATGGCGGTGTGTCCACTCACAGGATGAGTGACGCTGCCCAATACTGTCACTATGGCGGTGTGTCCACTCACAGGATGAGTGACGCTGCCCAATACTGTCACTATGGCGGTGTGTCCACTCACAGGATGGGTGACGCTGCCCAATACTGTCACTATGGCGGTGTGTCCACTCACAGGATGAGTGACGCTGCCCAATACTGTCACTATGGCGGTGTGTCCACTCACAGGATGAGTGACGCTGCCCAATACTGTCACTATGGCGGTGTGTCCACTCAAAGGATGAGTGACGCTGCCCAATACTGTCACTATGGCGGTGTGTCCACTCACAGGATGAGTGACGCTGCCCAATACTGTCACTATGGCGGTGTGTCCACTCACAGGATGAGTGACGCTGCCCAATACTGTCACTATGGCGGTGTGTCCACTCACAGGATGAGTGACGCTGCCCAATACTGTCACTATGGCGGTGTGTCCACTCACAGGATGAGTGGCGCTGCCCAATACTGTCACTATGGCGGTGTGTCCACTCACAGGATGAGTGACGCTGCCCAATACTGTCACTATGGCGGTGTGTCCACTCACAGGATGAGTGACGCTGCCCAATACTGTCACTATCGCGGTGTCCACTCACAGGATGAGTGGCGCTGCCCAATACTGTCACTATGGCGGTGTGTCCACTCACAGGATGAGTGGCGCTGCCCAATACTGTCACTATGGCGGTGTGTCCACTCACTGGATGAGTGGCGCTGCCCAATACTGTCACTATGGCGGTGTGTCCACTCACAGGATGAGTGACGCTGCCCAATACTGTCACTATGGCGGTGTGTCCACTAACAGGATGAGTGACGCTGCCCAATACTGTCACTCTGGTGGTGTGTCCACTCACAGGATGAGTGGCGCTGCCCAATACTGTCACTATGGCGGTGTGTCCACTCACAGGATGAGTGCCACTGCCCAATACTGTCACTATGGCGGTGTGTCCACTCACAGGATGAGTGGCGCTGCCCAATACTGTCACTATGGTGGTGTGTCCACTCACAGGATGAGTGGCGCTGCCCAATACTGTCACTATGGCGGTGTGTCCACTCACAGGATGAGTGACGCTGCCCAATACTTTCACTATGGCGGTGTGTCCACTCACAGGATGAGTGGCGCTGCCCAATACTGTCACTATGGCGGTGTGTCCACTCACAGGATGAGTGACGCTGCCCAATACTGTCACTATGGCGGTGTGTCCACTCACAGGATGAGTGGCGCTGCCCAATACTGTCACTATGGCGGTGTGTCCACTCACAGGATGAGTGACGCTGCCCAATACTGTCACTATGGCGGTGTGTCCACTAACAGGATGAGTGACGCTGCCCAATACTGTGTCCACTAACAGGATGAGTGGCGCTGCCCAATACTGTCACTATGGCGGTGTGTCCACTCACAGGATGAGTGCCGCTGCCCAATACTGTCACTATGGCGGTGTGTCCACTCACAGGATGAGTGACGCTGCCCAATACTGTCACTATGGCAGTGTGTCCACTCACAGGATGAGTGACGCTGCCCAATACTGTCACTATGGCGGTGTGTCCACTCACAGGATAAGTGACGCTGTCCAATACTGTCACTATGGCGGTGTGTCCACTCACAGGATGAGTGACGCTGCCCAATACTGTCGGCCACACCCCCTCGCCCGCTGGCCACACCCCCTCGGCCGCTTGCCACACCCCCTCGGCCGCTGGCCACACCCCCTCGGCCGCTGGCCACACCTCCTCGGCCGCTGGCCACACCTCCTCGGCCGCTGGCCACACCCCCTCGGCCGCTTGCCACACTCCCTCGGCCGCTTGCCACACCCCCTCGGCCGCTGGCCACACCTCCTCGGCCGCTGGCCACATACCTGTAGGAAAACAGAATCGGGAAACGAATATTAGATAAAGCTCCATTAGAATGGACACTGTGTAGTATTATTAATTATTAAATTATAACATTTAATTTACAGTAATAACTTATTAAAAGTACTAATCTTGACTACACGTGAATTGAAAATTCCTAAATTTGTAACACACTAACGATCATACACAATGTGTAAACACCGCAACATCAGTGGGGTGTATTCCTAAGCAGTAAAATAAGCAGTAATCAGTAATTAGTAATCAGTAAAGTAAGCAGTAATCAGTAAAGTAATTAGTAAAGTAAGCTGCTTACTAAGCAGCAAAGTAAGCACTGATTACCTTATAAAAATAACTAAATAAAGATATCTCATTTTGGAGTTAACACACATTTAATTCAACTGCATAGAGCTTTCTTTACTTTTTGTTTGTTTGTTTGGCCTCAGATTTTCAAGCGACATTTGTCTCTTGAAAATCTGTCCCTCAAACACGCAGCATCCCGTTTGCAGTAACAGGTTCTGTTCTCTTGCAGAATAACATGATATAGAACAGTCAGACGTAAGATTAAAACCAATCAATTAACTTGCGTTACTCCTAATTTCCAAAATGCTGTAAATAAGGTTCAGATCCAGCAAGTTGTGGAAGGCGAGCTGATGCTGGAATGTTTCCTCAATAATAGTTATTATTACTTAATATAATTAATATTACTCAAAATTAATATTGGTGCTAGTACTAGTAGGATAACAGCCATCCTCCTGGTTAGTAGCAGGGGGTCGGTAAGCGTTGCCGGGGAGTGTTGTACATGCTGCTATGGCGGTGTGTCCACTCACAAGATGAGTGACGCTGCCCAATACTGTCACTATGGCGGTAAGTCCACTCACAAGATGAGTGGCGCTGCCCAATACTGTCACTATGGCGGTATGTCTAGTCACAAGATGAGTGACGCTGCCCAATACTGTCACTATGGCGGTAAGTCCACTCACAAGATGAGTGTCGCTGCCCAATACTGTCACTATGGCGGTGTGTTCACTCACAAGATGAGTGGGGCTGCCCAATACTGTCACTATGGCGGTATGTCCACTCACAGGATGAGTGGCGCTCCCGAATATTCTCACTATGGCGGTAAGTCCACTCACAAGATGAGTGGCGCTGCCCAATACTGTCACTGGCGGTATGTCTAGTCACAAGATGAGTGGCGCTGCCCAATACTGTCACTATGGCGGTATGTCCACTCACAAGATGAGTGGCGCTGCCCAATAAACTCGCCCCTCAGGGCAAAATTTAAAAATGCAAGTACTATTGCATGATCTTCAGAGCAAGGCAGAATTTTACACAGTAAAGTTGCTCATCATCTTGCTCGTAAGCCAAGAAGAATTCCTTTGAACTGTGTCTAAAATGTTAAATTAAAACAGTATTTTATGTTACTGCTACTTATATTATGCTAAATGACTACAAAAACAGTGATATATATATACTTGATGTGGTGGAGGCTGACTCCATACACAGTTTCAAGTGTAGATATGACAGAGCCCGATAGGCTCAGGAATCTGTACACCTGTTGATTGACGGTTGAGAGGCGGGACCAAAGAGCCAGAGCTCAACCCCCGCAAACACAATTAGGTGAGTACAACTAGGTGAGTACAGTGTGCTTCACCTACCCAAGCATTCGTACCACGACCCGCCACTGAGCAGCGTAACAATGGTTTAGGATGGGTCAGGGTAACCAAATATGATGCCAGAATAAACCACACTTAAGATAATTTAATATCTAACAGCAGAGTTATCTTGTAACACAATGGACTATTATTCACTTTTCCTGAGTGGATGTGGGTGTTGTGTTGACAGACTGTGTTGTAGTTGGGTGTCTGTGATGGGTTGTAAGTGGGTGTGGGTGGGTGTGTAGGTGAGCTGTGGAGGTTTGTAAATGAGATATGGGCGTAGGTGGGTGTGGGTGAGTGTGTAGGTGGGCTGTGGAGGTTTGAAAATGATGTATAGGGGTTTGTGGGTGTGGGTGAGTGTGTAGGTGGGCTGTGGAGGTTTGTAAATGAGATATGAGCGTAGGTGGGTGTGGATGAGTGTGTAGGTGAGTTGTGGAGGTTTGAAAATGATGTATAGGGGTATGTGGGTGTGGGTGTCAGTGGACTGTGGAGGTTTGTAAATGATATATGGGCGTAGGTGGGTGTGGGCGTGAGTGAGCATATATTGTTGTTGGCAAGATAATGTTACTAGTCTGAGGTAATAGTGGAAGCAACATAGCCTCTCAAGACATTTAATACAAAGAATTACCTCAGCAGGTAATTAGGTAATTCAAAGAATTACCTAATTTCCTGCTGAGTGATACACTTCCCCAAATCAAAGCTCAGTTGTATTAACCTTCACAAGAACTGTAGAATTACTTCTTAACGTATGATTAACAATTGATAGAAAATTTATTTTTTTCTTAAAATAAAATATAAATTATTGGTTTTATGTGAGTAGTTAATATTCCTAGTGATGCTAATCCTCTTATAATTTTGTATTTTTGAATGGTTGTTTATGTACAGATTCCAACTAACATCAAGATAAATGTTATTGTTAATGCTTCAGTACATTAAAAGTCCTAAATAATATCCTAAAATAAAAGTCCTAAATAAAATGAGAAATAATAATAATATCGATATGTACCTCTTTAGTGATATGATTAACCGAGATAATTTAAGCTTCAGGTTGATGCAAGAAGACACTGGAAGATTGTGCATCAAAAAATTCATCAATTGCTACACGTCCACATTGTTCAAGTTAAGTCGCAGCAATTCTTATTGCCTCAGACTTCAGAAATGTTAAGATTCCTGTCATTACGACGATATATTCAAGATATCGCAAGGGATAATGAAGAGTTAAAATCAAAATAGACATTAGGCTACAATTCCCAATAACAAAAGGTCTAATAGCCATATTAGACCATTAGGCTATTCGTCTAATAGCCATAAATATAATGTAACAATTTAGTCATACTACAGTAAATCGCTTTCTAGAAATCGTACACAAAATAATTAGATTACAAAAACAAAATATAAAATTCTATACTAATAAGGACGCTAATTAGAAAATGTGTATTGCCGGTAATTTGCAGACAGCTGCTTCTATCCCGCCAAACACACACCGAAACTACGACGTTGGTACAACGTTCGAACAAGTTTTAACCCCTCCTAACCAGTTATAACAACCAATATAGCAAGTTGTAACAACGTTCTAATACGTCATAAACACGTTAAGCCAAGATGTAACAACTTTATTACAAGTTGTAACAAGCGGAAAATAGGGACAGTTTCGGTTTGTGTTTCCAGGGATAAGTCTGACATGATTCGCGACAAATTGTAACAATTGAAGTAACGTATCCCTGGTGCCAAGTAGTGCCAGGTAGTGCCTGTGTATGACTCAAGAAGCCCACCCCGCCCCCGACCTGCCCTCTCATCTACCACGATGTATTTTTTACGGAATCGACCAATCTGCTAAAATTTCGACGGATTAGTAAAAAAAAGAATTAAAGAATCATAGTATTGATGTTTTTTTTATGCATTGGCTTCGATGGGTTAGGTGGGTTACTTGGGTTTGTACGTTACTAGTTAGGCAAAATAGTTGTATTTTTTACGGAGTGGTGAGAGAACCGGTTGTCGAACCGAAGTGTTTCTCTCCTCCCTTATTTCCTCCATCTAATCAACCCTTAAATGAAGCACTTCTGAAGCGTGGTGGGGGGGGGGGGGAATTGTTAAGAGGTGCTCAAAATCGGAAGCCACTTCACTGGCACGCAAGTGGCACTGTGCCACATTCTGGGCTGATGTTGGGTAAACACACTCGCGAGTACTCAAGTGGCACTCTACCTGCCGGCACTCGTGTTTATACCTACCTTGAGTACCTTGTGGTCTTCCCAGATACACCATTCCCCGCACCACAGTCTCTGACCACACCCACTCTTCTCTTGTACTCTGAGAGTGACACACATTTGTTACCAATAGAAAGTCCTCATGTGAACTAATTAATTAATTAATCCTCAGGTGAACTACCCAGCGGCGGTTAGTTCAAGCTCACTCGGATCAATCTCTGGTAATCTCTAAACAGAGTAATTGGCTGTCAAGTACCACTATAGAGGCTATCAGTTGGTACTAGTAACACGTTCGCCTCTGCTGGGCTGTCAAGGACACGCCGCCGGCAGCTGTTGACGCTCAGACGATGGCACTTGCCTGCCACTCAGCAGACTCTTAAGTGTCTTCACGACCGGAAGGTGAGGTCACCGATGACAGGAAGCTGTCAAGCCAGGTGAGTGGTGCCTGCCAAGTCTGAGGGGAAGTAGTTAAGTAACTAAGTTCCGGAGCTTGACGGTTAGCAAGCCGAACTTGAGAGAAAGCTACAAGAATAAAGAAAACACCGGGAAGGTAACACAATACAAGCCTTCTTGTAAGAGAGACACACACACATCAAATAACATCAGCGGTGAGAAATACGAGACTACCGAACATGAGGACGGCATTAAAAAAAATGAAAATGAAATCAAAGTACAATACACCGCATACGTCAGATCATGACAAGAATATGAGGCTCCAGCCTGTACTACAGTGTAAAATGTAATAAAGGTGAGAACAGGTTGGGCACGAGATATCAAATGGGAGAGTAAAAACTTTCAAGAATCAGGGATAAAGACCTGGGTGTTGATATCACGCCGAACCCGTCTCCCGAAGCCAACTTAATAAATTGATATCACCACTGCCTTGAAAATCTGAGCAAGGAATAATGACGAATCTACTTCACCACCTATGAAAATAATTCTTGGATATGCGGAGTATATTCAAGAATATGAATATGAGTCTTTATCTCGTTAAACGCACAACGAAGCTGCATAAACTCCAGAAATATGCGACCAGACTAGTCCCAGAGGCGACAGGTACGAGTTACTAGGCAAGACAACCTTAAAAGTAATCAACTTCGAAGCACTGATTAACCAACACCAAGACGGTTGAGCTTCTGCTTGGCT